TCAAATCGTTGTTGCCAGCTAAGCCGCTGCTCCGTGTGTTATTAGCTTATGAGGTTTTTAGAAAGTACGGAAAATCACCGCTTTGTCCACTGGGACGGTCTTGGCAATTAACCGCTGTGCCCACATCACCGGCTGCTAAAATGAAACAAATTTGACTGTCCCTGATTGTCAAATATTAATCCAGCCAGCCGTCTGCTGATAACTTATAATAACTCTGCCACTTCGTTCATACTATACCCACTAACTACTTTCGAGAGTTTTTAGGTGCGGTGGTAGCACTTCGGAAGTAGCCGCCGCTAGTACAGCTTGTGCTAGAGTTGTAACGGAATGTTGTGTTTAGTGCCTCCTCAGTTCCTCAATTTGGTGTGTGCCGTTCCTGCGTGTTTATTTCGTTCTCATGCTTGTGGCTGTCTCCTGCCCGCACAATCTCCACTCACTGCTATCTTCTGTGTGCTTCTCGCTTTCACCTCAGTGGCACGTGCGGCGGGGATTTTCCGAGTGCTTTGACAATCGTTTTAGTGTGAGTGGATACTAAATAAGCTTGGACTTGGCACTTTACAGGAGGAGGAAGACAGGCGAAAAGCCGAAGAGGAAGCGAAGCGTCGCGCCTTTGAAGCCGCGCGCTTGAAAGCTCTTGAGGATGCTGACAGGCTGAGGAGAGAGCGAGAAGCAGCAGAAGCAGCACGGAGAGCGGCCGAAGAGGCTGACAGAGCCAGACGCCTTGCTGAGGAGGCAGAAAGGGCCAGGAAAGCAGCCGAAGACGCTGAAAGGCGGCGTCGCGAGGAGGAGGAGCGTAAGCGAAGAGAGGATGAAGACCGTCGTCGCCGTGAGGACGAGGAGAGACGGAGGCGCGAAGAGGCTGAGAGAGAAAGGAAGCGACGCGAGGATGAAGATAGAGAACGAAAACGACGTGAAGATGAAGAGCGGGAAAGACGACGTCGTGAAGAAGAGGAAAGACGACGCCGTGAGGAAGAGGAAAGACGACGCAAGGAACAAGAGCAGAGAAAGGTATGTGCCATAATAGTCCATTTACCGCTTTTGAGTGAGCTTTTCGAGTGGTTTCATTGAGTGACCTAATCAACACAAATTAACGGTGTGTAACACTTCCCCTCTCCACTCTATCTAGCTCATCCTTATTCTACGTATAATCTCAGTTTATGTGTTTCCAGATGCCTCCCCTCAACATTGTGCGGGGTAATGAGATGCATGAGGTGGTCGGTCAAGAAAACCCTGACGAGTGGGAGGTAATGGGTGATCTACCGGACGTGGCCAAAATCACGGAACACGAGGATGAGATGCAGATGTATCAGGAGGAGACAGTGACTAAGACCCAGTTCTATGAAATGGAGGGCACGTTGCACAAGCAGACTGGAGAAATTCTAACCTTTGTGGAGGCTGTTCGTCAGGGACTACTTGATCTCAGCGCAGGCGGGGGTCAGTTCTTTGACATCCACTCAGGTCGCATTAGTCTTGAGAAAGCTGTTGAACTTGGTTACATCGATGGTGCTTTCAATGATGTCCTGAACACTCGTTATGGTATCCGCCATCCTGAATCTCGCGCGGAGTTAACGCTTCTCGAGGCCATCCAAATTGGCCTGTATGACCCCGAAACTAGACATCTGTACGACATTCACTCTGGCGAAATGCTTGAGCTTTACGATTGGGTTGCTAGGGGTATCCTCACCATGGACACTCAAAGGAGATTGGTCAAAATGGGTATTTTGAAACTTCCTCCCATGGCACTGCATAGTGCTATTGATCAGGGTGTTTTGAACACTGTCTCTGGACAGTTCGTCGGTAAATATTCGCATGAGTCAATGCCCATTAGAGATGCCCTTTATCACGGTTACCTTCAATTGGTTTCTCCTCAACAAATTCCAATGATAGCAATCACCCTTAGTGACGCTATCAAGGAAGGCTTCATAAATGCTAACAATGGCGAGTTCGATGATAAAAACACTAAGGATACCTTTACTCTTAGGGAGGCCTGCTCAAAGCAGTTAGGTCTTCTTAACTTATACGTACCTGAAGTAGTAAATACGGCTGAAAACACTAGACTGGATTTGAAGGATGCCATGCTGCGAAACGCCATCAACACTCGCAACGGCAACTTCACTGATCTTCAGACTCGGCGCACGCTTTCCCTTCGCGAGGCATACAACGAAGGTCTAATTTCGAAGCCATCAACCTTAACAGAGATGTTGGAGAAAGATCTAATTGATTCCACCAACCATTTCATTGATCGTGGAACAAAACACAGGCATACAATTCTTGAAGCTATTGCAGCTGGAGTTTTAGACGCTGAAGTTCGACACATCGTTGATCCTGACGAGAAGGACGTAATTTCCATAGCAGAGGCCATGGAACGAGGAATACTTGGCGCCGATGGAAAGATCATTCTCGAAAAACAGCAAAAGGAGTTCACTATTCCCGAAGCTGTGAGGGAAGGACTTCTTACGAAACGAGTACGCCACAGTATCTTTGATGTTAGAGG